TCCGTCCTCCTCCTACCCTGAAAGATCTCTTCACATCATCCCGAATTTATGAAAATCGGTGCCACGAACAATCTTGTCGATACTGCACATCAGAGAAGATCTGTGAACTCCAAGGCACCGTTTATCTTGTTCAGTGCAGAGGATGTGGAGAAAAATACGTGGGGGAAACGGCAAGACCTTTGAAGATTCGACTGGACGAGCATAGGAGAGCGTTGGCCAATCCCGCCGCTTATCCTCATAGCAGCTTCTCCAGACACCGTACGTTGAGACATGAGAATGAGGACGCTCCATCTTTCTGTGTTCTGCATAGACATTTGGTACGGCCACTGGAAAGAAAGATCATGGAAGCGCGGGAAATACATCGAACCAGGCCAGAAATTAACAAAAAGGAAGAGCTACGTGACCTTTTGAGACTTCTTACGTAATCAATGAAGTCCTTCCCTCGGGGATGATGTCTCATTTTTCACTCGTTCCCGACCCTCATAGGTCCCCTCCGTACTCCCTTATCGCTGGTATGTCGATGTATCGTGTTTATTGTATAAGAACAGTTGATCAGTCGCAAGTATTGTAATTTTAAGATTGGTCTGATGATGGCATTATTGCCGAAAGCTTGCCAATAAAGTGTAAGAGTGGAAGAGCTTCAAGAAACTTCAATCTACGATCCGGAATCAAATGAAGCTCAGAGATAGCAGCATTTTGTCATATTTTTTGTATTGTCATGTTTGTAGTAAATAATATTGATAATTAGAATTGATTTGTGAGAATTATTGTCAAAATGCCATTGAAAATTTAGTGCACCAGTAATTTTGCCCCACCCTGTATTCTCTGGTTGGGGAGATATATGTGTCGAGGATCTATCAAGGATGACTCTCGACCGCTGGAAAAGCCGCTCCCTTCTTCACCATTGCACATGTAATTTGTTGAACGTGCTGATTCTCCCAACATAAGCGACAAGAAAAAGGGCAATCGTCAGGTCTCGTCTCAGTATAGGCCATGCATCCGACCTCCACTGAAGTTGTAGAATCTATTGAAATGTCGGGTCCGTGCCGTCGATGGAAAGGACACGACAGGTGTTACACAAATGTTTCCTTTCCTTGTTAACAGAAACTGTATTGTAGAAAACACATTTTGTAACTCCCGTAACCTAAGGAACAGCTTCATTCGCCCATGGTCTTTCCAGAACTCTTGCCGGATTGCGACAGCTCCCTAACAACTGCCTCATTTTCAACGAGGTATTAAGGGCGAGAGAGCGGGCCTAGATAAAGGAGGTGCCTCTACAGCACGTGTACACATTGCGGAGATGCACTTTCATTCCTTGTACTGCTTTCAAATACGTCCTTCTCATAAAGGTAAAGGAATGGAGCGACTGGACCTGCAAAGAATATTTTATCTCATGTTTTCTCACATATCCTTGTTTTCTGCTGCGCTACACCCTCTCTCTCCTATCTGACGTTACTGACCCCAATGAGTACGACCCCCATGACCCACCCTGACAAATACGACCCCTCCTGTCGAGGATTTCCTCGACCGATATTCACCCTGCTCCGAAGTCCCTCCTCCCTCTATCATCTGTGCTCTGGCTTTTCGCGGAAGAGAACAAGGTTCAGTAGTCACGTATTCATGGAGGGATGTTTTTCTGGAGGTACGTCACAAGACCCACTGGGCAACGGCAGCACCCTTGATCTCGCCGTTTTGTTTCCATTCTTTCGTCGCTGTTTTTGTGTGAAGAAAGGTATTTACAAGCGAATATAAAATCAGGAACCGAAACAGTGTCAGTATTGAAGGAAGCGATTACGATAAGGAATTTTCGCATCGGGGGAGAACCTGCGCCACACGGAGCAATTACTTGGCTGCCAAGGAAGCGATGTGTGGCGCTTCCACGGCGAAAGGTGCTGTGGTTGCTGAGCAGGACCTCCGCAGCACTCCGCCTCCAGCAGCGTTACGCCCACTTGTCCAGATGATGACGTGGACGAGCTGGTCCATGGTCGAAAAGGAAATGGCAATCAAAGGGGTACTATTTTGCTTATTTTTGACGGATTTCTTTGCTTTTTTCGCCATTGGCGTACTATTGAGACCCCCACGTCCCCTCTAAACCCCTTTGAGATCTATCGTAATCGCTGCCTTTAAGAAGAAGTGTTGGATCCTTAGAACTGGTATGATTTACTTGCCTAGACAGGTCAACCCATGTAATTTATTGTAAGATATTAGGTGGCTTATCGATTACTGATGCCACATGCTGGCCGGTATAAAAGGCCGTCGTTTCTCACGTACATTATTCTGTCGTTCCTGGCCTGAAATAAAAGCTGCTCGTCTATGGTTGCGATAGGACAAATGGAAATGAAGAGTAGAGAACCTAGCGGGGTACGTCCCATCATCATTCCCATGAAGGTGTTCCTTGCAGGGTGAATATCGCTTGAGGATTCCTCAACGGCACGTCGAGGATTCTCTGCCCGATCAGACACGATCTCTCGCGCGGACATTCACACTCGCCATGCGCGTGCCGTCTGTGCTCTCCGCGCGGATGTTCACTCTCGGCACTACTCTCGCATGGTAGAGAGCTATGGTCGAGGAAATTCCTCGACCGTTATTCACCCTGGTTCCTTGTGAGACTGACAAAAACTCTCCTACTCTGGTTGTCTGCCACGCCATTACTGGCGATCATTACGAAGAAAGTGCGGACTCTCCGAAGACTGTAATCTGCAAACCAGCGAAGTTGAATCAAGAAAAGGTGGATGTAAACGGCGTCGACAACAAGGGCGGTAAATAAAGCGACTCTGCTCAAGATGCTGCAGAATTGCGAAGTCCGAGGGGGGGGGTACCGCTGGAAGGCCCCGAGATCATATTTCGGCTGGACGTCGTGTCGCGCCAGGTGGAGTTTGCTTGACAAATGCTTAACTCTGAAAGGGGTAGCAAACGGGAAGAAACAAATTCCTTCGAAAACTAGATAGCGCAAACGATGAGTTACTAGTGTTGAGGGTAGTAGGGGGTGTAGGGGGGTGTGAGTGTGGTACGTGCGAATGAGAGGAATGAGAAGAGATCGAGGAGAGAGAAGTGATAGACTTGAGTGAGAGTATAAAAGTGGTTGGCGGTTCGCAATAAAGGACTTCTCGCTCTGGTTCTTGTGCTACACACCGACTACACACCAACTGGCGATCAGGATGACGACTGTGGAGGCTGGGCAAGGAGGCTGCAAAGTGGAGGAAAGCGGAGGAGGCAGAACCACGATGGTGGATTCCGGTACCGAAGTGTACCGGGGTCGTGCTCCAGGGCCATATGTGCCGGGGACATCGTGGCGAACCTGGTGGAGGCTGTTCGCTAATTTCCTCGTTTTGAGGAAGGTGACTAGAAGAAAAAGACAGGAGGCTGATCTTTCCTGCAGGAGGTGGAAACTCGAATTATGAGTTGCTCGAATCACTCCTGCAGGGCCGAGAGCTGGAGGAGTGGAGCTAAAGGATCTTCGGCAAGCCGTGGAACGCCATTACCAGCTGAAGAAGCTGGTATTAGCAGAGCGTTTCGGCCCTCATGTCGAAAGTTCCAGAAACCGGGACAAGCCCTGCACGAATACTACGCCGAGCTGCAGAAGGCGGCGAACACGTGCGGCTTTGAGGAAATTAAGAACCACCGGGACGCGGTGGTAACAATGGTTTTCATCGGAGGGCTTGCTCTCGGTAGAGACGAGGAAACGGTTGCTGGAGAGAGAGGACCTGACATCGAAGGAGGCGCTGGAGCAGGCTGAAGCATTTGAGCGAGTTGGAGAAAACGCTCTACACTTGAAGGAAGGACCTCAAGCTGCAGGAGTAGCACAGGTAAGGATGCGTAACCGGCAGTCGGCATGGCGCGCACAAGCGAGTGAGCAAAAGCAAACGCCGAGCAAGCCCAGCTCGGAGGGAGTTCAAGTGCAACACCAGGCCATGCCGGTACGAGTGTTTCAGGAAGCAAACAGCATACTATAAAGTATGTAAGAAAAAGGGCCACCTAGCAGTGAAATGTTGGAAGAATGCTAGAGTAGGTCGCAAAGTCTCCCGCCAGGTTCATTGGTGTGCGACCCCCCGGAAGCTCAGACCGGTATGGTGAGGATTGGTAAGTCAGGGACGTGACTATATGTATGAAAATCAGGACGCTCGCGTTCTGAGAGCAGGCCGCTGTAAGAACCCCACTGCCGTGAGCTGGGAGCAGGGATCTTCTGGGTTGTAGACGCAAAATAGCCGTAAAAGTGGAGCTCACTACCTTACCGGTTGCGACGAAGAGTTGTGTCGGTCCTGAAGAGAGGAGTGTGTGTGCGGTATCATCCGAATAGTGAATACAGCTACCACAGACGCTGCCAGTAAAAATGAACAACACTCTGATAAGGAAACGGTAGCTAGGGATACGCCCGTCCAAAGCGGAATAGACCGGTTGGCGGATGAGCCACCGCGAATGCTACATATGGAAGTGAATGGGAAGAAGATTCCATTTGAATTGGATACTGGCGCATCGCTGTCTATTATTGATGAGAAGACTTGGCGTAAACTAGGCCGACCGCAGTTGCAGAAGGCGGAGGTGGCAGCAACGGCATTTGATAATAAGCGCATCACGTTCCAAGGCAAATTTTCCATTACATATTGTTCCCGGCAAGGAGGCGATGTTGATATACATGTATTCAAGGAGGCGAGTCGCTTTTTGTGTGGAAGAGACATGATTAGGAGGCTACAGATTAATTGTGGACCGCATTATGAGTTGTGCACAATGTGAAACAGATGCCCAATGTGGAAATCAAAAAAGAAATAGTGCGTGTCTTGGATAGCAACAAGAGGTTGTTCCAAGATGCTTTGGGCAAGTGCACAATTGCAAGAGCCAAGTTCAAATTTAAAAGTGATCCAGTGGTGCCCAAATTCTTAAGGGCGAGACCGGTACCTATTGCGCTGAGGCCCCTATGTAGTCCCATTGAGGGGGGACATTGGGAGGGCGCGGCATGGGCCGCGAGTGGTGCAGTGTGGTGTGTGGCCCCCATCCGGATCGCAATGGATTCCTGGAAGGAGGCCGAAATCGCCGCCACCAGGCGTCGTGACGGCCCTGTGGGCCGTTTGAAAGAAATCAGAGAGGGACATTTCGCAGTAAGGGAGTGCGAGTTTTTCTGGGCTACCTCAGACGAAGAAGTCGCGCTCGCGTTCAAGGAGGCAATGGATCGTTCCAGTCGTCCGAGAGAAGGAGGGCCGGAAGGAAAAAAACCGGTAGCGGCCAATTCCGAGAAGCGGGTCTGGCCCGCAGGCCTAGAAGAGGCGAAGCACACGGACACGCGGGTCATCTGGTGCAACTGTGCATGTGTAATAAATGTGTCTTACCATTGTTTGCTGCAGAAGTATAGTACTGCGGACGGGGGGTGAGGTGGACGCATGTCCGAACATGCCCTCTCCGTCTCCATTCTGGTTCTAACGATCGGCAGTTTACCAAGTAGGACCTCAAGGCAGGAGTAGCACGAGGTAGAATGCGTTAACCGGCAGTTGGCATGGCGTGCACAAGCGAGTGAGCAAAAGAGAAAACCGAGCAAGGGCCAGCTCGGAGGGAGTTTAAGTGCAGAGTTTGCGGAGCACCAGGCCATGCCTGGGTACGAGTGTTTCAGGAAGCAAAGCATACTGTAAAGTATGTAAGAAAAAGGGCCACCTAGCAGTGAAATGTTGGAAGAATGCTAGAGTAGGTCGCAAAGTCTCCCGCCAGGTTCATCGGTGTGAGGAGCCCACCGGAAGCTCCGGTAGTGGTGAGGATTTGGTAAGTCAGAGCGTGAATATGGTAGTGAAATCACACTTACCCCACTGCCGTGGAGCTGGGAGCAGGGATCCGGTGTGTAGACGCAAAATGAGCAGAAAAGTGGAACTAAATGGAACTTACAGTGCTGCGACGAAGAGTTGTGTCGGTCATGATAGAGAGTAGTGTGTGTGCGGTATCATCCGAATAGTGAATACCGCTACTACAGACGCTGCCAGTAAAAATGAACAACACTCTGATAAGGAAACGGTAGCTAGGGATACGCCCGTCCAAAGCGGAATAGACCGGTTGGCGGATGAGCCACCGCGAATGCTACATATGGAAGTGAATGGGAAGAAGATTCCAGTTTGAATTGGATACTGGCGCATCGCTGTCTATTATTGATGAGAAGACTTGGCGTAAACTAGGCCGACCGCAGTTGCAGAAGGCGGAGGTGGCAGCAACGGCATTTGATAATAAGCGCATCACGTTCCAAGGCAAATTTCCATTACATATAAGTTCGCCGGCAAGGAGGCGATGTTGGATATACATGTATTCAAGGAGGCGAGTCACTTTGTGTGGAAGAGACATGATTAGGAGGCTACAGATTAATTGTGGACCGCATTATGAGTTAGTGCACAATGTGAAACAGATGCCCAATGTGGAAATCAAAAAAGAAATAGTGCGTGTCTTGGATAGCAACAAGAGGTTGTTCCAAGATGCTTTGGGCAAGTGCACAATTGCAAGAGCCAAGTTCAAATTTAAAAGTGATCCAGTGGTGCCCAAATTCTTAAGGGCGAGACCGGTACCTATTGCGCTGAGGCCCCTATGTAGTCCTGTAGGGACAGAGTGTTGGAGGGCCGGTCCGGGGCCGGGCCCCCGGCAACCGCGTGGTGCCCCGTCTGTGTTTGGGCCCAGCCCGGATCGGCAAATAGTCGTCTTAATTCCTGTGCACCAGTGTCCTGCTACCCACCACTGTCAAACCGCCCCGAGCCGCACCACGGCCCGCGCGTCGTGGAACAGTGCCCTGTGGCGTTTGAAAGAAATCAAGAGGGACATAGAGAGATCAGCAGAAGAGAGCGGAGTTTTTCTGCACCCAGACGAAGAAGCCGCTAGCGGTCAAGGAGGCAATGGAGTCGTTCAGCGTCGAGAGGAAGGAGGGCCGGAAGAAGCCGGGACGGACCGATCGAGGAGCGGGTCCGCCGAAGGGCCTAGAAGAGGCGAGGCCCACGGAAACGGCGGGTCCCTGCAACTTTGCATGTGTAATAAATGTGTTCTTTATCATGTGTTGCTGCAGAAGTAAGGTACTGCTGGACGGGGGGGGAGGTAGACGCGATGTCGAACCCCCTCCCCCGTCCATTCTGGTTCTACGATGCGGCAGTTGACCAATTCCCCACCCACCGTGGTGTTCTTGCAACCGGTGAGTGGTTCGTACAAAGTGAGTGTTTTCAATGATCTTAAAATATATTTCAGCCGGCGCGCCCGCAGGGCAGGAGAACGCCGAGGTCCTGGAATTGGGCGCGCCGAGGACGTGGGCGGCGAGCGGTGTGGCGGGGCCCGCCGCCCAGGGATGAAGACGGGAATCGAGCTACGGGGACTCTCCGTCGCCTGGAAGAGTCATTGCCGTGTCGAAGAGACGCTGATGAGGAAGGAGCCTCTAAAAGACATGCCCCTTGAAGGATGAAGAAACTAGTCTACAGTAGTTGTTAGGATGTATCGTTATAAATAAAGATAGAATGGTAAATGGTGTATACAGGCTACGGGACGAGGTGGTATTGTTAATGAGTGACCTGGCGGTCACTACGGGGGGATGTTGAGGGTAGTAGGGGAAACCGGTTTTAGGGCAGAAGACGGTGGAAATGGAGCGGACGTGCAAATGAGCCGGTTGGAATGAAGAGGACTGTGATGAAGGAATCATGGTAGACCGTGCTATAAAAGAAGGATGCCAAGCAACAAATGATCCATCCCCCTGTTGTCTCCAGCCACACAACTATTAGAATCCTTATTGCGCACAGGAGCTGGATGCAACGGGCTTGACAACAATGAGCTGTAGGGTGGAGGAAAAATTTTTGCCCGAAGGACTATTATTGACGTTGAGCGTTTTGGACTGATGTCGCAGGTACAACTGCCAGGTTGATCTTTTAAGAGTATTATACAGATAGCCGCCAGTGCCACTCCTCCTCCATGGCCGGCAGTAGAGATTGGTGATTCACACACCGCAGCAGCCGGTATGTGTTCCGGTGATGACGATCGCTGCCACAATGGGTGTTGAGCGCGCCGCCGCGGTCATAGTTAAAGGCATCTTACATATAGAGGTACTGTAGCTGCTGACATAGGACCAGCACTATTACAGCGGGGACCTGCGGAAATCATGGATGACACAAATCGACACGAGGGTTGTTGTAGAGATAATATTATAGAAGATCGCCTGCGGACGTTGAAGACAGACAAGTAAGCGCGTAATAAAACATCATGGTGAAGGTGTTCATCAAAATTGAGGGGATGGTTGTTACGACAAAAAATAGCAAAATAGTTGGATCAAGTAGGCGTAGAGGGAAGCTGAACTTCCACGGGTAGAGTAGGTGGAACAGAACTCAAGCTGACTAACCTGTCAGCAGGCTATGGAGGGATTTCAGGGGGATGGCCGTTTTTGAAGTAGGACCGATGCAAATGTTGAGAAGGTGGAGGTGATGGAGTGAAGAAAGGAGAAATCAGCTAGATACGGTTCATTCCCTGCGAAATTACCCCTCTTGAGAATGTCAACATTCTCCTACTCTGTCTGTCTTGATAGACTATTACTGGCGACCAAAATGATGAAAAAACCGCTCTCAGAGGCCGCAGTCTGCGATCCAGAGGAAAGGGATGAGGAGGCTCCGATATACCGTGATATAGAATAGAAAATATTTGTTAAATAGTATTCCCTGAAAATAAATAGTATTCCCTGCCAGGGTTTCTCAAGAGGTTGCCCTCCGCAATGCTCCTTTACCTCGTAAGTCTGCCAAACTCAGTAGCCCTTTTACACGTCCATCGCATAGTGCAGAGGCAAGTACGATCGGTTCCACTTCGCGTGAACAACGCAGACAGCTATCACTTAGGTGCCGATTGTATTAATGATAATTCCAAATTCGTACCCGTCCAATCACAATAGAGCAGCGAATTACTTTCATGATAAACATCACATAGAGAAGAGAAATTGTCTGATGGTTAGTGCGCCTATACAGTCTAATTTAGGCCGATTCAGATGTCATCTTAAGCTGTAATAGTGAGCTTTCACGCGAATCTCTCCCTCCCCTGTCGTTTTAAACCGCATCAACGCGAACTTCAAACCAGCAATAAGCCAACCACCTTCACACTTACATTCACTCAATATGGAATGCTTCTCTACAAACTGCCGTAGCGTCACAAATAAACTGATAGAGTTCCAAGCTTTTCGCGTTGCTATTCTGCTACAACGAACTTTGTTTGCTAGCCCTGTCACCAATGGTCACATAACTTAAAACCTGCCTTATACTGTATTCAGAGAGGATAGAACTACTAAAGGTGGTGGCGTCGTGGTTCTAATTAGAAATCACATAGGTGCTGCCACATATACCCATACCTTCAACATAGATGGTGCACCATCTATTCGAAGAGCTTAATGACAGAGTTTTAGAGAAACTGCCTGAGCTCAGCGAAAAATTCATCAGAAATCGTGAAAAAAGTTCTACTGTCCTCCAAAAATAGTCGACATCTCCGTCACTATGTGAAGTCGAAATCGAAAGAACACTGCACAATTCCGGCTCCGTGGATGACAAAGGTGAAAATTGTCTACAATGATACAGCAAAAGCCGAACGAATAAACCCCATGCTGGCCATTTCTTCTGTTTTTACTGTAGATAATAGTATCATCTCGTACTCAAAAAGTGATTGCAAGCATACAATTGAGCTCCTTTTCGATACTACCTCAAGACGTATTGTTACACGCGAAAAAGGTCAAATCCTCCTGCTCACAAACTCCTGATGGGATTCCAGAAATCGTTTTCCGAAATTATGTCAAGGAACTTGCTAGCCCCCCCCCCCCAAGGCGGGCCGGGCAGTGGCACACATATTCAGCATTCATTACGAAGGGGCAAAGTACATCTTGGATTCTGGGAAAAACGCATTTGTAACACCACTTAATAAAAACCAGCAACCTAACGTTCCTACTGATTACCAACCTATTTCCATATTTAGCACTGCGTGCAAGCTCATGGAAAGATGCATAAAGATCAAATTGACGTGCTCATTAATCGCTTCAAATAGATGCTTTCCGACGGAGAATACGATTCTCGGGAAAAGTATCCAGTGAGGACAGCATGAGGGATCCAGTCCATCAATGGCTGTGCCATAAATTTTTACACCATATGATTGACATTATTTGCTATGATATCGTCAAAGCATTTGATATAGTAATCATCCAAAACTACGACACAGTTAGTAGATGTTGGCTTGAGGGGTAGCCTGTGGAGTTGAATAAATTTTTTTCTGGGTGCCAGGGGTTTGCGTTAAAATTAGAAATACGATACGGTTTTTCTTGCTTCTCTTTTTTTGCTAGAAAAAATTAATGGTCACCTCGAAAATTTTTACTTTTGGATATCCTGATTCTTTAGGACTTGAGGATATAAAATACAAGAAAACATAGTATATCAATCTTTGGAGGACGTTGCTCAAGCGAGAAAAAAATAATGCACCTAAAATCGTTCCGGTGAACACTTTTGGCTGCTACTGTATATGACCTCCCAAAAACGCTGTCGCACTATCCTTCAGTCCAGATATGCATGTTGGCCAAAGGCGTGACAGTTCCATCCTTCCCAAGCTGAAAACAAAGATGAAGCACACGCGATTCACATCAATCGTGGTCAGAAACTAGGTATGGTGCGACATTCAGATCAGTGGGCAATTGGAGTTTATCACCAAGTAATTACGCTGCCTCTTATATATACAGTAGCGGTCAAAGTTTGGAAACTTTTTTATTTTTGATCTAGCGCGGCCGATACACAACGAAATTGTCCCAAATTTAGATATTCCATACAAAATCGAGTTCAGAATACGACGGGAAGAACAATTTCCAAAAACCTATAATCATATTTGAGAAATAAGATTTTTTCAAGTAATGGCGCGTCAAAAGTTTGGAAACTTTTTGTTTCCCTTATCAGTATGATTCCTACTCTTCAATGTTTACTTGTTTCTGTTAATTTTAGTTAAACCATTGAGCAATGTGTAATTTCAAAATGAATTCATATGCAAAGGAAGCAGTTTTTCTATGGGAGGTCCTTTTTTAAACCCTACAATCGAGAATGCGAAATTGAAACTGATTCTTAGTAGTTCAGCCTCTACGTAAGCAATATTATCGGATGTTTCTAGCGTTATTAGAGTCGAGTAAGCATAAGAAGAATGATCATCACAAAAAAGTATCTTCACATAGAAAGTTGGTCCTCTTCAAATACTTCGAAAGGTGGTTGGCACGTCCCGTGCCCCCAACATTCCCAACTAAGAGACAACTTTTTCTGGTTTTTTCCTAATCATATGAAAGTCCAAGTGCACGCAACATCGGCCGCGACCTGGTGAATATTACGGATGATGTCCCAACAAGAAGCCATTGTTGGGCTTCAAGAGCAGGATGGCCCAACTGGCTTCCGCACACTAACGGCTAACATGGACCGAAGGCGAGAGGTAAAACTTTGTCCTCAGCGACGAATGGGATTTCTGTCTTCCTAAAATGATGTAAAATGATGTTGTAAACCGTGTGTGTTTTATCAACAGGAAACCTAATCTTAAAGGAAGCGATTACGATAAGGAATTTTCGCATCGGGGGAGAACCTGCGCCACACGGAGCAATTACTTGGCTGCCAAGGAAGCGATGTGTGGCCTCCCACGGCGAAAGGTGCTGTGGTTGCTGAGCAGGACCCGCGTGACGCCCCGCCCCCAGTGACGTGACGCCCACTAGTTTTGTTGATGATCTGGATGGACTGTTTGCTGTTGGCTTTTCATTTTGGATGATCATTTCCCTTCTAGCGGCTGTATCTTCCAACTTGCCCACGTATTGCCTTATCAATCAAAACACTATGCTTGTTGGCATGATGGCGGCTATCGGGGTTAACACGTCCGAACAACGTCGTTCTTTACCGTCGCTCATCCATGGTCGAAAATGAAAGGGCAATCAAAGGGGTACTATTTTGCTTATTTCTTTGCTTTTTTCGCCATTGGCGTACTATTGAGACCCCCACGTCCCCTCTAAACCCCTTGAGATCTATCGTAATCGCTTCCTTTAAGTACCAGTCTTCAACAGTCAGAAATAGTGGAAGTACTCATGGATGAACATGTGTCCGACCATTCGGCGATTCCCCAGTTCTAGGTATCCAGCGAAATGTGGGTTGGGCTAAGTACAAGTATAGTCTGTAGAATACAATGCTTCCTTCGATAGTCAGAACTAGCCGGAAAAGATGGGTTTTCTATCGCGGAAATGACCCAATGCAGGCCTACCTCCTCACTGCCGCCTTCCTAAACCCAGAAAAAGAAGCTGCTATGAAGCGACCAAGTCAAGATCTGAAGTCTAATTGAGTTCTACATCTCACGGAAAAAGTGGCATGTCGCTCTACCCACGTTCCAGTTAAGAATCCCACCAAACAATGTGATTTAGTTCACAGTGTATGAGGTCCGACTTAA